AACGATTCCACGGCCGCGTATCGTGTCGCATACATTAAAACGATCATTAACGAGCTCGGTGATGCGTCGAGTGATAGGAGTGGTGTTACGTGGCCGAGATTTAGGTCGCGATTTTTTCCCATTCCGCTTTATTACACCGGGAGAGAATCCGCGATGCCGAGAGTATCGAGCTCCAATGATCTCGTGGATAATCCGCGGCTTCGAATCTCTCTTTTTCTTCTTTTCTCCCATCTTTCCTCCCTTCGTCCCTTCGATTTCCATCGCGCACCAACTTAGTTTCAATTCGCAACCGATACTTAAAACTTTTGGACATATTTTCACCGAGGAATCACGGATTTTCTCTTATATCAACGTCGTAAACAAAAAAGTGATGCGTGGGAGGTCGGATGTGTAAAGATGGAATTTATGGTTTATCGACGATCTTTTGTAATTTTTCGTCGAGTGATAGTATTCTCACTTTTTTTTTTTATTGGAAGAAAATTTTGAATCGCTAATTTTTATTTTCTTAAATTAAAATTCCACGGTGTATATATAAATTCTATTTCTAGATTAAACAGAAAAATTAATAATTCCTCAAAAAGTGATTCGAAAAAATGACTCTCTCGAGAAATCAGGGTCGAATTAACCAGTTTCATTCGTAATTAATACATAGACCGGTCAGACACACGAGCAACAGTTGGACAGTGTTTAACTTTCACTGTCATTCGACGAAGTCCCCCCTCCTCCTCCACACTTTCATTCATCCTATCTGTCCATCGCGAAACCCTCGTGAGGAGCGGAGTGTCGATGCTGGTCGACCGAAGGGATTCGTCGCGAGGAAGGGTCGCCTGGTATGAACGCGATAAATATTTTTTTCATCGGGGAACCGCGCGAAAAGTTTGGTCAAAGGCAAGGCGGCTCGAAGCGAAGGGAGGTAGGCAGGTTGTTGATTAAACGTTGCGCCGGCGAAACGTATTATTACTCGGAGAGTACGACGCTTCTCAACCGCAATCCTCTGAACTTGCTCGCCCGCGGAGGGGATGGTTCCTGGTTGCTCGACTTTTTTCTCGAACGAGGCGCAGATTCTCGTTTTTTTTTTTTTTTTTTCTCTCCTCCCTCCTCGAGGATCCCGTCCTCGACTCGGGAAAATGTGAAAGTTCGCCGCTACAACGTGGCAGCGAGTGTATTCTCCATTCTCTCCTGTTGCGCACACGAATATACACACACGTATATATATATATATGGATGCGCGTATATACACATCATTGTTGGGATCTGTCCTTTGCTCCATTCCGTGGCCGCTTTGCAAAAGGTAGGAGAAGGTAATAAGCGGATTTCGCGGCGGTCGGCCGGCTATTCGCAAACTGGAAACGCGACCCGGAGCTCGTTATTTCATGAGGGGGTAGGGGAGAGGAGGGGGTGAATTAAAACAGCGCGACGCGGGCAGCCACGACTCCGTGGAAGGG